AGAGACAAACCACAGAATGGAAAAAAAAATTGCCAGCTATTCCTCAGACAAAGGACTAATATCTACAATTATGAAGAACTAAAAAAAGTCACATCCCTGCCCCCAAATTATAGACCCAGTACAAAAATGGGCATCTGAAATGAACAGACACTTCTCACATGAGGAAGTACAAATGGTAAATAAATATATGAAAAATTGCTCAATATCACTGGTCACTCAATAAATGTAAATTAGTGCTGAGGATGTAGCTCAGCAGTGCAGTGCCTGCCTGGCAAGGGCGAGGTCCTGAGTTCGATTCCCGGTACCAAAAGAAAAGAAATGTAAATTAAAACAACACTGAGAGTCCATCGCACTCCAGAAAGATGACTATCATCAAGAAATCAATTGGGGCCGGGGATGTGGCTCAGTGGTAGAGCTCTTGCCTTACATGCACAGGGCCCTGGGTTCAATCCCCAGCACCACACACACACACACACACACACAAAAGAAATCAATCAATAACAAATGCTGGAGGGGCTGGGCGGGAAAAGGAACCCTTCTCCACTGTTGGTAGGAGTGTAGACTGGTGCAGCCACCGTGGAAGTCATTGTGGAGATTCCTCAGAAAACTAAAACTAGGGGTTCCGTTTGAATTAAATCTCAATAAACAAACGTGTAAGTTGACAGAAATGTTGCACAGTGGAGTGCAATCCAGTGACAAGATCTGGATTCAGCAGCAAGTGGAGAAGGGAAGCGGAAGCCTAAGAGAGAGGGCGGGGCTCGGAAGTGGGCAGCGCCCGGCTCCCCGCGCCCCTCTCTGCCCACCCTGTTACTTAGCCTCGCCCGTGCACTTCCCAACCTGGACTCTGCGAGTCTGACCGCCCACCCCTCCTCCTTCCCGCGGCGGGTGAGACGCGGCCGGCAGCCCTAAAGCGGCATCCGCCAGCAGGCAGCGGGAGACCCGTGCACTCCGGCGGCCCCGCGGGACCCAGCACCCGGCGAGGCCGAGTGCGAGCGCGCGTGCGGACCAGGGAGGGCACTCGAGCCCAACCCCGAGTGCGGCCAGGAGCGGTGCAGATGCGGCCACAGGGGGCGCAGAAAGGGCCCTGGAGCAATCTTTCGGATCCTCTTTCACTTTTTCTCAGCTGCCCAATCAGAGCCCAGATCACAGGGTGGCTTGTCACCAGTCTCTAGGCCGAACACGCTGCTTCAGGTTAGAAAAGGAAACTTGGCTCCCTCTATTTCCTCTTTCTCAGAAGGCCCCGGCCTTCCCAGAAAGGAGCATGGCGCCCTGCGGTCGCACCCACGCCCCACCCATTGGATCAGCAACTCGGCTCCCCACATTTCTCTTTACGAAATGACTGGGGCAGTCTTTGGTTGTTCCAGTGAAGTTACTTTTAGTACTTAGGGGCCGAGGGCCCAGGATCCCAGCCTACACACACGAGTTATGAAAACTCTGTTTCTAACTGGACTTATAATCGCACGTAAAACTGTGTTTTGTGTTTCAGGAGGTTTTTATTTCTTGAATATTTACGGAGCATTTCCTCTGCCGGGTTAATTTACATATAGAGTGATTTAAAAATACGGTGACTATTGCTGCCGAGTGCCATCCCACAGGAAGACAGGGGTCTTCAGTAGAAGCAGCAGCCCCTTGAACCTTAGTGACAGTGTGTGACAAGTTCCAACTTGTGCAGTAGTCAGTCTGCTGTAAGGGAAGGCTGAGAGAAGGTGCGTTTTACAGCGTGCCATTAACGGTGGATCCTGGGCAACACATGGCACTGGCGTTGCAGCCCTGCCTCTCCACATTCTGTCAAATGAAGACATTCCCCGGATCTGGCATCACGTGACTTCTGGTTCTTTCCTAAAGCCAAAAGGTTTTGAATTGGTCCAGGACAAGGAGGCGGCCAGGACAACGCAGCTAAAGACACACAAGAGGACTCCAGAGCTGCTTCAGACGGTGGCAAGAAAGATGGGATAAGTGTGGCTGAAATGACAGGGCGTATTTGAAAGAGGCTTCGTGACAATATGTAATAACTTGAGAAAATGTTTAACATGTAATCATTTTAATTTAAATATTCACGATACTTTTTTATTATATCTTGACTTTTCCAGGAATGTAACTACCATTACAATTCAAAACAAGCTGTATTAGGGGGTTTTGTTCACTTTTGGAATATTATCTAGAGATTTTTCACCATTTCACATAGTGACAACAGAGCCAGCAGTACTAAATCAATCTGAGTCATCGTTGGAGCTCAGAAAATGACACCCTACACCAGTGGTGGCAAACCTACGGCACATGTATGAGAGCTGGCTATTTGTTATCACAGAAAGCTCTAAAAGGTTCACCATCACTGCCAGCTACACCATCAGAGCAGCTTGCCTTTTAGTCTTCGGTGCCACTGGTTTACAGAGATTCTGGGTTAGTCGCAAGAGGCTGGCACTGCTTTACACCAACCACTGCAGCCTGTTATAGTCATATTAGTGACAGAGTTAAACAGAATGTTGAATCTGATTTGGGTTGAAATCTCTAATGTACCCTATGGTCCTGGAGACTCTGCCCACCTCAGCCTGACAAGCCCAATTTTCATAATGAGTCTCTACCCTGAGTCTCTACTCTAGAAATGTAGCAGATAATGCTCCACTGCACAAGCGACTTGCACTGTCACCAGTTAGAAGTTCTTATTTTACAAATACAGAAACTGAGATCAGGAAAGGTTAAGAGAAGTAAGACAAGAATTTTGACAAAGGGAGGATCAGAAGCTCCTGAGCATGCAATGAGACTTGGTAAATTCCCTGAGTAAGAAGGGCATTCTCAGAAACACAGGGGCTGCTAGATGTTTGCCTGCAGGCCTACGCTCAGGAGAACTGTTCAGAGCAAATGCTTGCCGGTTAATTTAAGCCCAGGAAAAAGAGCTTCAGCAGCTCAGTGCCAAGAAATTTTGCCTTGTACTTCCTTGCTATGGTTTTGGGTAATTTATTCTAGTAAGCTGTGAAAATAAAGAACCACGGGAAGTAAACACAATCAGCTTGAGGTGTGCATCTTACAGAGCTGTTCTCACTGCTATCCCCTGCTCAGAACCACCATGGAGCAGCGCATGGTAGGGAGTAGACATTTCATTTTTACTGAACGAAATGAGTGAATAAATGAGTAAATTTCATGTTACAGGAATACTTGTCCCATTTTATAGATATGGTGACTGTATTAGTCAGCTTTGTGTCACTGTGTCATGGTTTGTGTCTGGACGTCCCCCCAAATCCTCATGCAGTCATGGGGTGGGCATCTAGATTTATGATTGATTCATGGTCCAATGTTAGAATTATGGATGTGAGTGTTACACCTGCCCTGGGGCAGATAGTTTGCATACAATGCAAGGGAGGGAAGAAGGCTTGCTCCCTGCCACTCCTTTTTTGCTCTTGCTGCTTTTGCTGTCTTCCGGCCACCATGAACTGTTGTCCTCTGCCATGTGCCACCCTGCCTTGGAGCCAGCTGAGTATGGACTGAAACCTCCACAAACTGTGAGCTAAATAAACTTTCCTTCCTTAGTTTTGGGCGTGGGATATTTTGTCTCAGCAATGAGTGAAAATTAGTTAACTAAGACACACTGCAACAAAACACCCACTACAGGTTACTTACATAGGTTTATTTAGCTCATGATTGTGGACGTTCAAAGTCCGAACAGCATACATCATACAGGTTCTATGGCAAAGGGCTGACCCCTTGGCTACACCACGTCATAGTGCCCAGAGAAATGGAGCAAGCAAGGGAGACCGGAGGTCCAGGCTTGCTTCTTTTATAGCAATCCTCAGGAGAGTTCAAAGGGTCTCGGAACTATCTTCTTAGAATGCAGCCCCAGTGACTTAGGGACCACTCACTAGGCCCCATCTCTTAAAGGTTTCACCACCTTCCAAAACCCTGTGGACCAAGCCCCCAACCACAGCAGACCCTTGTGGAACACAATGAAACCATGTCCAAAACAGAGGGCCGAGTCAGGAATTTCCTAATTTCTCTTGTGAAGTTAGGATTTGAGCTTCCTTAGGGGTTCACTGGTATTCATACTTCAAGGCTAGTCTCTTAGAGACTTTGCATGTGTAATGAGAATTTGGGATTGCATGTTGTGGGCCCAACAAAGAAAAATCGCAGAAGCAGCAGATGACCTACCCCGATCTGGCTCTACAAGCCAGTACCCAACGTTTGATATTTTGCTGCAAACAACTAGCACCTGCACATTATCCTTAGCTACCGGAAAGTACCTTGGAGTTTCCCTTTGCATGCCACCCACCAGGCCTATATAACCAAAGACAGGCTGATATGAGTCACCAAAGGCCAGCCCCGTGGAGTCTTCCCATTCCCAGTCCTTTATGCCCCACGCCCTTACTGTTTTTTCCTGAGAGCCCTTTCTTAATGTCACTTGATCTAGACCCGTGGCTCAGAGCCTCCTTCCACAAACTTGACCTGTGACATTCACTGGCTCTTCAGATGATGCAAATGGAATGCCTACTTGCAGACAGCTAAGGATACCTAGAAAGCCACTTCAAATAATGCTGTGACACTGTGTACCAGGAAATATCTGGGGAGCTTTGTTTTGTTTTTGTTTTTCTGAGGGTAGTAAAAAGAGGAAGTGGGTCAGAAGGAAGTGGGCAAGGGAAGACTGCACACCACTGCAGCGGTCTTCAGTTCAGCTTGTATGCTTTCCCAAAGAAAAATGTCCCCAGTTGCCTAGGCTTTTTAATCATCTATGTTTTTGTTGTTGTCATTGCTGTTGTTTGGGGGGGGTTGTTTTTTTGGGGGGGATGTTTATTTTTGAGACAGGGTCTCATTATGCAGTCCAGATTGGCCTTGAACTCACTATGTAGCCTAGGCTGGTCTCAAACTCAGAGCAATTCTCCTGCCTCAGCCTCCCAAGTGCTGGGATTACAGGTGTGTACCACCATGCCTGGCTCATTAATCATCTATGTTGTGCAGGGCCAAAGATGAATAACTACTTCCAACTAATAAGCACAGATATACAGACTATAATGTATAACAAAGCTTCACATATGATTAAATGTTATTTTATTTCATATTCAATAGAGCTTTTAGGTGTGAGGGATGTAACTCAGTGGTAGAGTGCTTGCCTAGCATATAGAAGGCCCTAGCTTCAAGCTCCATCATTATAAAAAGAAAAGAAATAGAGATTTTTTAAAACCAGCCTTTCTTGTGGCTCTCCGTACTATCAAAATAGTTTTCATGCATAAGGTTTGTAATCAAAGGTTTTATAGTTTCTTTTAAGATATTTAAGATCCAACTATTAGTATTCAGCGTTTCTTTTTCCTGAATGTCAGATTCCATGGAAAGATAGACATGCAGACAGTGCCCAAAGTAGAATTATAAAGATAATGCCTACATTAATGTCATTATAATTTCCTTATTGGGTGCATAAAGTATACAAACTTATCATCCATTTGTAAAAAGCAAAGAAACAATTTGGAATTAGCCCCATCCAAGTTGGGGTGTCTTCATTCTGTAAAGAAAAAGAAAAAATTAGTAAATGACTTATTTTATTTGGGTTACAGATCTCATCACCAGATCTATCTAATTCTGTTGTGTAGATCTGCTTTCTATAAGAACTACCTGCAAACAATTCTACAAACGCATTACAAAGAGCATATCCATCTGGTGCTTCTCAAACCTAAAGGAAACCATGCTGTTACTCAAATTTGAACCCTGACTCTACCATTTAGGACCCCTGTGACTGAGTAGAGCACCCAATTTCTCTTTATTCTCTTAAATCAGTTTCCCTGTTTTAGAGAGTAACGAGATTTGAATGGGTTTTCAACATCAAGGACATAGAATTTCTTTGAAAAAACTGGATTTTCTACCACTGGACTCCAACTGAAGATTCAGAGAAGTCCAAGTTCCTCTCTGGTTCATGCTTCTAGAACTCTTATAGATACATCTATTGTAGTATCTTTACATGGATTACAACAATGTTTTCATTTCCTTCCTCAGGTGCCTTGGGAGCCTCTAGGAAACAAACACATGCGACACCGAGGCTGGGCAAGAGATGGAAGAAGTGGGTGTCTTCAGAACTGTGTCACCCCTCTGTTCTGGACAAAGGACAAAGTAACTAAGTAACTAAGCAAAGGAAGAGAGTGGTTCCTTTCTAAAAGCCTCCTCCTCAAAAATGCCGGTCTAGAAATGGCAGAAGAAAGATCCAACCCTCACAGGTAGCATGGGTAAGTGGCTGCTGCTATCCTGCCACCCACACTCACAGCCACTCTGCCCTACCTTAAGAGGGCAGATGCTGGCAGAGCCACACCTGTGACCACACACCATCTTCATGCCACTCCACAGGAGAAGGGAATGTGTTCTTTGCCTGCTGACATGCTACTCTAACTTACGGCCTTCATACAGTGAGGGTTACCATGTTAGAACTGCCTATAAATAGTCCCTAGGATACTGAAACAAAACAAAACTTAAGGTTTAAAAAAAAAAAAAAAAAAAAAAACCCACCTTTTCCTGAAACAAACAGTTACTTGTTTCGATCTAAGAAAAAGAAAATGGACAACATTAAGTTTTACTTTTAAAACACTACATACTAACAAACCCCAAAACTGTTAGCAATAAAGCTGGCAGCACAAGCTACTGTTCCTAATCTTGGACACTAGCTTAGAATTCCCCACTAAGACCCACCCCTGCCTGCCTCACAGCCAAATCTAGTCAAAGAGCACTGGGGGAAGTCCACAGTTGCATGGTGCCAGGACACTGGGGCTACAGGACAAGGCCTGTGCCTCACTGAGGTGCTCCATGCTGTAAGGGTCCAGGTGGCTGCAGGAAGCACCTCTGTGCTCTGTTGTGAGCACGGTTGCTGCTCTTTGCTCTCACTGGAGGGACACTGCTGGCTCAGAGGCCTCTCAGCAGGTGCTTCTATTCATGCTCTCAGAACACTCCCTGAAAATCTCAGATCCCAGCATGCAGACTTTTTGATACAACTTTCAATAACTAAGGAAAGTTTTGTGTTTGTTTATTCGGGTGTTTTTTTTTTATTTTGGGGGGTTTTTTGAGACAGGGACTCTGTATAATATAGCCTGACCTCAAGCTGTGATCCTCCTGCCTCAGCAGGAGGATGGGATAATCAGCGCTGGGATTATAGGCATGTACCACCATACCTGGGTAAGAAAAGAACTGGAAAACTTACCCCACTTAACTATCAGGGGTTCAGACAGTGTGACGTGTGAAACGCTGCAGGAAAATTCATCCTTCTCACTGGGGATAAAGGCGCCATGCACCAGGAGATAGAAAGTCCAGTCCTTGCTGAAAGAAAGATCTGACTTCTCCACCTCCATCTTCTCCCCATTTTTCAACAGTTCCACTTCAATCTGGGGTGGGTGAAACCCAGATACATAGCAGTTCAGGAAGTTAGACTTCCCATTTTCTGCCGGGTGACGGGAATATACTTGAACTCTTGGAGTATCTGAGAAAGATAAGGAAAAGACAGTAAGAATTGCCAGAGTATTTCACTTGGGACTAACTTGGTCTCAAGCTACATCAGGCAAAATGTGTTAAATCTGATCATCTATTTCTCCCAATTTCATTTCCATTCTCACTGCCTTCAACTTTACCAAAAAACTACCTCCATTTTGAGAAATAAACCACAATCTTTTCCGCATCATTTTCCTATACATGCCTTTTGGAATTTTTTTTCCCATGGCAATTTCTGGTAGTATCTTTGTCACTGAAGATTGTACTGAAGTTTTTTTAAATTTTGTTTTGTTTTTTGCTTTCTTGGTTTGTTTGGTCAGTTTTTTTGTTTGTTTGTTTTTGTTTTTTTTTTTTGGTTTTTCTCCGGTATCAGGAACCGAACTCACGACCTTGCGCTTGCCAGGCAGGCGCTTTGCCGCTGAGCTAAATCCCCAGCCCCTGTTTGGTCAGTTTTTTGAGACAGGTCGCTGGGTAGTTCAGGCTGGCCTTGAACCCACTATGTTGTCCACACTGGCCTCAAGCTTTCGGGGTTCCACCTGCCTCAGCCTCCCAAGTACGGGAACAATAGGCCTGTGCCACTATGCCCGGCTGTACTGAAGTTTTAAGAACCTTTCTCTGGAGGCTTTTAAGAACCTCTCATGCTTTCTCAGCATCTATTGAATTTCTTTTACTGTATTATTCAAAGCCCCAACTTACTTTTCAAACTTAATTTCTCATTTCACACACCCTCCATAGCAGACACATCAAATTACTGATGCTATTGTGCATGGCTTCAGCCTCTTCCTTTTTCTTCCTTAGGTTAACTCCCTTTCGTTTTGGTTTTTGCTCCGGCCTACATCTATACTATACCTATCTGTCTTCCTAATAAATATTAAATGTCTATTGAAGCACCTAGTGTACAGCAATTACCCTGTAAGTGGCAGATGTCATTGTTAGTACTCCTTGCTTAGGTTTCCATGCAAGGCAAACCAAAGTGTGTTCCTATTGAACACAAGCTCGTTATTTCTGCCCAGAGTTTATATGCCAAATCTGTACCTGATTTCATGAGCTAGAAAACAAAGAAACAAAACTGTCTCTAAGAGTTGGAAAAGACCTGAAGTGATTGAGTTGGGCTAGATAAAATTCAGTGGGGGAAAGGTGAGGACCATAAGAAAGGGAAAAAAACATACTTTCCCGTATGACCAAATGGAACGATGCATATGAGTTTGGGATCTGCATTTCTAATTAGTAGCTCCCATTGCCTCATGTTACAGAACAATGGTTTACAAAATGAGGTATGTGACTAGACCATTCATGGGAAAGTGGAAGAAACTTATAAATTCTATTTCTAAATTTTTCATCCAATATGTAGAAATATTACTGTGCAGAAGGATACAGACTGACATCAATGCATATATATAAATTTGCTTTTTCTCTCTTTTTTTCTTTCTTTCTGTTTTGTTTTTTTTGTTGTTGTTTTTTGTTTTTTTGAGACAGGGTCTCACTCTGTAACTCAGTCTGATCTTAAACTTACTGTGTAGCCCAGGCTGGCCTGGAACTCACCTGATCCTCCTGCCTTAGCCTCCTGAGTGGGGATTACAGGTGTGTACCACCAGGCCCGGCTAATTTCTTTTTTCTTGGTAATGGGGACTGACCCCAGGACTTCTGCAGGGAACTACGTTCCCTAGCCCTTTTTTAGTTTTATTTATTTATTTATTTATTTTCTTACTTTGAAACAAGGTCTCAATAAATTGCTGGGACTGGGCTTAATCTTGATGATTCTTCTGCCTGAGCCGCCCAGAGTGCTGGGATTACAGGCATATGCCACCATGTACAGCTGGAAAAGTTATTGTAAACTATCAAAGTTCTGCTGAAAAATCAATTCGTGCCCACAGTGAAACAAAAAATTGTATACACAGGATGGGAAGAAAACTGACTTTTAGAGGCAATCATTAGTAAAGGATTTTTCTATATCTTCCAGAAACTAAAGCTGGTATGCTTTATTAGGAAAACTGTCAGAATAAGATTTTCTTAATGTCAGGTTCTTATTTTTAAAAATCTCAGGCTAGGGATATAGTTCATTGGCACAGCTCCTGCCTGGCAAGTGCAAGGTCCTGA